AATTTGGAGTCAAGGAACTCTCCCGAGATGCAAGCCAAATCTGACTTATTTTAGAAATGCCTCTCAGTCCTGTTGTTTGTATTAATTGCTTTGTTAATAACTTTTGTGTTAAAAAGTTTGCAGGCCAAGATTCCCTCCTCTGAACTGTCAATCTTTTTAAAAAATAGCAATATTTTTTGCAGATATTTTAGATGCACTGCAACATCCCAACTGGAGGGATGGAAGGGAATTAGGAATAGCTTATATGATTCTATCCAATGCAGTTCAAGATCAGTACTAGCAGGGAGACAGATAGAACCCATCTGGTAAATCTGGATCCATGGTTTGATCTTTTCGCAGCTATGCTATAAAGCAACTTTCTTAGGCAAACATGGAAACCTTTCCATCACCAAAAGATCGTAGAAGGAAAATGCAATGATGAGCCTATTTAAGGCCATATGAGAGGTGGGGAGGCATCTCTGGGGGGTTATGGAGTGCCCCAAAGGTCAAAGAAACCACCCTGACACTTGCGCTCCGGGGAGTCAGTCCAGGGCCCAGCCTTGTTTTCGGGGGTGGTGCTCGTGGTGGTGGCGGTGGCAGCCCTGGAGCCTGGATGGGTTCCAGGGAAATCTTTCACATGACATTGGTCTTGGAGAGGCTGGACACTTGTTAGGATCTGGGCCGCTTCAGGGCTCCTCCTGCTGGCCACGTGTTGGAATAACAGCCCCAGTCATTGCAGGATTGGCCCCGCACTCTGGTGCAGCCGCCAGGGCAGCCATGAGCGCCACCTGGGAGCTCCTGGGGAAAAGCTAGTGAAGAGCCAGCTCTTTGCTGTACATGCTGCCCTACCAGCAGTGGTCTTCGGTGTACTGAAACTCTGGCTCCGAGGTCCCTTCATGCTGTCTCCCTTGCTCTTGACTTCTGGCTTATGTTTGACTACTCCCTTGCTTCCTGGATGCTGGTACAGCAGATTCCTGGTTGGACTTTGGCTGGTTTGACTTTGCAATTTGGACTGATGAATTGGACTGGGGACTTGATTCTGGCCTTGACGACCTTGCCTTGTTTCCTGGGTCCTGGTGCATTATCTGTTACCCAGCTGCTCATGCCCTGAACCCTTCCAGTACTGTGCAGAAGGAGAACATACCTCTGAGCTCTCAGGGTTCCCCTTCACACCACTCCACCAGTCGTCCACCAGACATTCATCCTTGGAAAGCACACACCTGGTGGTGGTGCTGATGGCGGCAATTCCCATATCATGGAGCCAGGATGGTGCATCCTGGTGGCAGGCTGTGCCCCCTACTTCTGCACAGATACTGAAAAGTGTACACACTGCACAGGTGCACAGGCTGGGTGTTTCTCAGGCCTTCCGATGCAAGTCAAGAGTGGGCCCTAACACACTAGTGCTGTGCATACACATTAACTGAACACAGATAAATGGCTGACAAAAATGCCCTGTCTGCACTCAGAAAGCACCCTTCCCCTCTTCCTTCCCACTGCTGGCAAAGTGGCCACTGGCATAGATCTTAGTGATGAGGATGCCCCAGCAATGCTAGTTGGTTGATTTATGGAACATCTTGAGATGGTCACTGGATACTGCTCTCCTGAGTTCTACAACAAAGTGGAGCAAGATAAGGCTGTCGCTAGGCAGTGTGTATATTATTGTTACAGGATAAATAAAAAGAAGAGAGGGAAGTATTGAGAATCCAACTCTACAAGCAACCATTCCCTAACCTGGTGGTCTCCAGATGTGTTGGGCTGCAAGCCCTGTCATTCTCAGCCAACATGACCATGCACGGTTGGGAAGGTGGAAGTGACGGCTCAACAAAGAGAGTTTGAGGGGGAAGAGTGAAGTTGATAATCTCCTGGACATGTGTACAGACCATGTTTTACCAGCTGCGGAGTGAGAGGCAGGCTGGGCAACTTAATACTGAGAGTGGCAGGTAATGCTCAAGTTGCTGAAGAGGAAGCAAGTCATGGAGGGGTCTTCGCCACTGCACAAGCGACATCACTGAGCTCTTTCTAATCAGCCGGAATTCTCATCCATTCATATTGCAAACCTCTGTGTGCCAGTATGAGTGGATCTCTGGGGTATGTTTACAGGTGAAAATGGTGTGCACATTCAGAAATCAGGGGGTCGTACCCAAGAAAGAGGGTGCCGTGCAGCCTGAGGGACTGCAGGTCAAGTCTGCTCCTTACCCAGATCCTGTAATTTCAACAGGTTGCCATTTGGACAGGCAGATTCAATGTTAGTTGAGCTGTGAATGGATACTAACAGATTTATGGGTACCGTGGGAATCAGGGCATCCAGTGTGGTGTAACAGTTATAAAGCTGCACTGAGGACCTGGGGGATCCAGGTTTAAGTCCCCACTTGGCCATGAAACTCACTAGGTGACTTTGGGCCAGTCTTAGGCTAACCTACCTCATAGGGTTGTTGTTCTGAGGATAAAATGGAGCTAGGCAAGCCACCTTGGGATCCTCACAAGCAGAAAAAAGTGGGATCTAAACTCAATGCAGCAACAACTGTAGGCAAGACTGTGGGTGGCTTCTGCTTGGGAAGGATTCCCTTCTAGTCTGCTGAACAGCCTCCAGGACGTTGTGAATGCTCATGAGAAATGTTGGCAAATTGTTCAGTCACAGCAGGTATTTGAGGTACCCACATACCCCAATAATAATTTGATACCTGTGGATTCCAAACCGAATGGATTCACACTTCCAGTGTATGTGCAAAACCTTTCGATTTGGCCCTCTGCAGATTTTATGATGCAGCGCTTAGCTCAAAAAGAAAGAAAGAAAAAGCATTTACGAAGACTACAGCTTGGTGATAAAAAGCCCACTCCTGGGACCTGATATCCCCTTCTGGGGGTGGGTATTTTCTCTCTCCAAAAGCAATTTTCCTGGTGCATGATATGAGATGAGTTCCTTCCCACTATCTTTTATCTCCTCCTCCTCCTCGCTACCAGGGGTAAAGAGACTGTACTTTCCGCACTCTCCTTATCTGCACTTGGAAAAGGAAAGGGAAGAATGTTTTCTGCAACCATTCTTTGTGAGTGCTCTAAGAAACCCTCAGAGCTTTGTGCATAGTCAAAGGGAAGTTCACCATGCATTGTCGAGTTCTACAGAAGAATCTTCACCCATTCCAAAAACATACCATTTACGTAGAACTGTTCTGACTTACACAAACACTCATTGATCAAAAACATGTTATCCTTATCTGCTGTTTTCTGGTGCCTAGTGACTTTTTTAAATGTGCCTGTCCTTACAGGTGAGTGCATAGCCCATATTTCCAAATGGATCTCTCTAATACTGATTTCTGAGACAGAGAGAGGGGCTGCTTGGTAACACTCGTGCTTGTTCTCTTGGTCCTCAGAAAGAAGACGAAGAGAATGAAAAGAACTTCTAAGCACTGAGAACCACTGTGGTGTAGTGGTTAGAATACCGGACTGGGAATTCTGGGTTCTAGTTCCCAGCTGACCACAAAACTCACTGGGTGCCTGGGCCAATTGCTCACTCGCAGCCTAACCTACAGAATTGTTCTGAGGATTACACTGAGCTAGGCAAGCTACCTTGAGTTCCTCACCAGAGGAAAAAGTTCAGGAGATAAATGCAACATCAGAATAGTAAAGTACAACATGATGTCTGAAGGAATGGTCCTTTGGAGGCATCATCCCTGGAGGAGGGCCCTTTAGAAGCATAAAGCTTGCATTCCCGCCACCAAACAAAGTCTTCCGAGCACTTGAGCATCAACTGTTGCTCTTCAGTCTGGTGCTCTCTGGATGGTTTGGATTTCAACTCCCATCAGCTGCGACCAGAATGGTCAATGGTTAGGGATCCTGGAAGATTTACTTCCAGATCTGGTGGGCGCCAGGCTGGCAGAGACTGCACTAGTGCCCATCAAGTTGCACAGATTGGTGGTCTCCATGAGGAAGCTTAAGTACTTTCTATGGGAAACCTGAGCACTTCCCTGACTAGTTTAAGTGCCTGGATTGGGCCCACCAAAGGCTGCAACATTGCAGGTGGCTCGATACCGCAATGCCAACATCCTTTGCATAGATATTGCAAAAGCTGACAGAGTTTCCTCTATATAGATGATACAAGATCTAAGCCATTTGGGTCAGCTCAAATTACTTCGCATCAATAATGCTGAAAAATTTGTGTGCCACATTTGCTGCATTGACATACCTGAAAGCAGATGAATCTCCATGTTTCTGCTGCCTTGTTTACATTTAGCAACTTGTCTCCACAGCCAAGAACAGAAAATGGCACTGTAAATCCCATTTGGGGGATGAAAAGGAGCTCTGTTACTCACCTTGGGTTACTCACGAGAGAACCAAAGGCAGAATGTGAATGCATTGTAATAAGTACAACAGTGATCCATACAGATGTACAGATGTTGTCAAATCGGTTCCATCTACATTTTGCAAATTCTCAGGAACCTTTCATTCCATCATCTGGTCCTAGATAGAATTATATTTTGCGCAAAGGCATTCATGCACTTTTGTACAAATCCATACTGGTACAAAGTTGTGCTCCCGGGATTGCCCACACCCTGCAAACTGCTCAGATTCCTTAAATAATGTGTGTGCTTTGGCCTATGGGGAAAATGTACTTTTTAGTCAATTTTTTGGATTTTTCCCTAATTTTTAGCGCTAGGTTTGCTGAAAAACATGAAAAATAGTGGTTACAAATGGTCTACAAGTTCTCCCAACTGAATCCGCACAACTCTGGAAGAGCCAATTTACTGCAGAGTCCACAGGTTGGATTTGTAGAGATTCAAACTAATTTGAGTCCATTACAGATTTCTCTGATCTTGCTAACTGTAAGGCAAACACTCTGCTTTTCTTAACATGTTTGGTAAGCCTGTGAACTAGCTGTATGGAGTCTGACAAAAAAGCTACGACTCTAACATATGCTTGCTTTATTCCTAGGCATGTTTCCCATCAGATAATAAAATAGTCTCATCGAAAAAAGGCGCCCATATTGCCTGCAAACCTGATTCTTATTCCACCGGTTTTAATTGCAGGTTGCCAATTTGGCTTGTTCCATTTCCAATAACGAAGAAGGTGTAAAATTGGTCCGTATGGCAGCAACGCAGATTGATAGTCTCTGCCCACAGGTAAGCCATAGTTGCTCAAGAAAGAAAATATGCTCGGGAGCCTTTGCAGCTTTTAAGAGCATCAGGCATTTGACACAGAAAAACCCCCGGCACAAAGATTAGAGTATCGCGCTTTCCATTAAACTGCTGATTGCTTTGCCCAAATAGCGAAAAATGCATTTGTATACCAAGTCTTGCTTAATGAACAGAACGATCAAAGCACACAGCTGTGCTTTTAACATAGTCTTTAATCAATTTGTTCTTTTCCTTGAGAAAGGGGCCTGTTTTGGTCGTTGCTCATAAGAACTGATTCTGACTCATAGGTAATAAACGCAGCGCTCACACTGGCGGCCCGGCCCCAAAGCAAGGTGGCTCAGGACAACATGGATGTCTTCAAAGACCAGTGGGAGAAGCAGGTGCGGGTGCTCACCGAAGCTGTCGATGACATCACATCTGTGGACGACTTCCTCTCCGTCTCAGGTATTGCAAGCAAGATAGTGGCTCTGAAAGGAAGCGTGGATTCTTTTACTGTGGCACAAGCTCCGGTGGAAAAACCTAACCCTATCGGCTGCATTAAGTGTTCTGAAGGGTTGGGCCCTGGTGCACTGGGGAAACTACCTTTTTATGATCTGTGAGTAATTAAAGAGAAGATGAAGGAGAAGCAAGACATGTTCCCCCTTCAGCCGTGCTGAAGAATGTTAGAAAGGATGGCCTGCTTTTGAGACAATGCTTCCAGCCTAAGTGCTTGGTGATTTTGTTATCGCAGGTCCTCGTAGCCAGTTAGATCTGAGGCAGGTTTGGCCATGTAGGGCCTGGACCAGAGCTTGGATGGAATGATAGATTGGATGAGGGCCAGCCTACTGAAATTGGATCCTGCTAAGATGGAGACACTGTGTATGGGCAGTCTAGGAGCTGGGCCATTTACTTGTCCTCAGTGGGGTTGAACTCCCACAGGGCCAGTGGCATCATCTGGACAGTGCTCTGGGATTCAGCTCTGTTATTTTTGGCTCAATTGGCTTCTGTAGCAAAGAACCTCCATTACCAACTTAGGCTGATATGCCAGCTATGGCCATTCCTGGACAGGGACAAAATCCTATATGAGCAGAGTTGGAAGGGGCCTAGAAGGCCATCAGGCCCAACTCCCCTGCTAGAGTAGGCCATCAAGTTACACTGTCTCACTTGCATGTCCATCCACTTGGATCTGAGATGCCTCTAGTGCGGTAGAGCCCACAACCTCCTGAGTGACCGGTTTCATTCCTGTACCACTCTAAGAGTGAGGAAACGTTTCTTGGTATCTAGACTGAATCTGGTTTCTTGCACTGAAGTTTGTTGTTTCATGCTCAGCTGACTGTGATGTGGGGGAGAATCTTCTCAATTATGGTGTCCACCTGTGGAATGATCTGCCCAACGTTCTCCTAATGTGGGGTATTTCCACATGCTTGTGGAAGAAGAATACATGCATGTTTGCCCAGGAAGTTCTCTGACCACAAGTTTTACCAGTTATCCCTAGCTATTTCAATGGAAATATGATTGCTTTTATCATTGTTTTATTATTATAATGACTGGTTTTGCTCTATTTTATCATGATTTTATTTTGCAAACTGCTTTTCAATTGTTACTTTTAAATGAAAAAGGCACAGATGATATATGTCAGAGCAATACCTCAGTGGAACCAGCTGCCTGGAGAGGTGGTGGGCTCTCCCACAGTAGAAACATTTAGAAAGGAACTGGGCAGCCATCTGAGTGGGATGGTGTGACTTGGTGTCCTGCAACAGCAGAGGTTGGACTTGATGACCATCATGGTCCCTTCCAACTCCACTATTCTATGATATAGACATTATTTTGAGATTAAAAGAAATACAAGATGGCTCCATCGCTGCCCCCAGGGGTGCTCCAATTTAAACAGCTGTGCTCAGTTCCTTCTACTTCAGTGGCGTCCATGTTGGTGTCTTTGTACTGTAATCAGTTTCTGAGAAAAAGAACTTCAGTGCTGGTCATATGTCTTGCTGAGCTTATGAACATACTGACCTGAAGGTGTACAACCCAAAGGCCCACCAGCACTGTTCAGGTTGATTTTACGGTCTGAGCAGTTATGAGAGGAGAGAATCCTTTAAGTCAAGGGGCTATCAGATCCTGGATGGCAGCAGCCAAGTTGTGATAAAGATGAAGTGAGTATAGCAGTCTAAAACGATAAATGGGGACATGTGCCACCAGGTCCACCTGTAACTCCTGCAACAATGCTGGATGCAACAGCACCCCCAAGCTATGAACCCCAACTTTCAGGGGATGCACAATCCTGTCCAGAACAAGCAGATCATCCACTATGACAAACCACCCCCCTGAAACCACCCAATTTGTCTGAATTGGAGCCTCGGCTTCCATAGTCCATCCTTGGTATGCTCTGCTTTGGCCAAGCTGAGTGCCATGTTTCTGGGGCCTTTTCTGAGCCACCACTCCTTCCTCTTCCTCTTCCTCTTGGACTCTTCATCATTGGCACCAGCAGCACCTTTCCTGAGCTCCAAACTTGTTAGCAAGAACAGCTGAATAGCTGAGCTCATGAAGTGAAGGCTTGGCAAAGCAAATTTTACTTGGTTGCAAAAGGACAAGTAAAGGGACTTTCCTTGCCTTCTGTACTAAAATGAATCCTAGTTAAAGTAGCAGAAAACCTACATTTGGCTCTGTTTTGCTAGTGGGCAGCATTTGTGGCACAAATCCACAGGGGCTGATTAGCCATGTCCTGTCAGTACCTGCTGGCATTGCATCTCCAGCATGCTAAGAGAAGATTAACCCTTTGGTCATGCTTTCCATTAGGGCAATCTCCTGCCATCAGGAAGTCTTCCCCTCCCTGTGCTGATTCATATCATTCATATATCAACCACAGCGTGTCAAAATAACTTCTGGACTGGTGGACAGTAAAGATAAAGGGACGGAAATACAGTCTTAAACTTTGGAAAAGCCACTATGGTGTGGTCTTAAGATCGCTGACTGGGAGTTGGGAGACCTGGATTTGGGTCCCCCCTCAGCCAGGACACCCACTGGGTGACTCTGGGCCAGCTACGGACCCTCAGCCTGGCCTACCTCACCGGATGGTCGCTGTGAGGACAGAATGGAGCCAAGAATGTCGTAAGCTGCCATGGCTTCCTCAGAACAGGAAAAAAAGTGGGATATAAATGTAATGACATTATCGTCATTGTCATCAGACAAACAAAACAGAATGCCAATAAATAAAGCATGGTTGGTCATTCTGGAAAGGCTTGTAGGAACAAAAAGGCATTTACCAGGCACTGAGAACAAAATGGAGTTAGTTTCTTCCTGACTTCCAGTGGCAGGGAGTTCCACAGAGAGGAAGACACATTTACCTTTCTATTCCCCTGCTTTTAGCTTTAAAAAAAAAAAAAAAACTCTAAGCATTTATTTATTTTGGGGGGGGAAGAATACTGTGAGCCTGGCTTATAAATACAACAATCTTCGCATGGAGTGTCTATTTATTGTGTCACGTTGCATCCATTGTGAAGGGGAGGTATTCACCAAGTGTCTGCATTGTGGCAAGAGATTGTCATCAGGCAGTCTTATTAAGTGTGAAGAAAGAGCACAGGGTTTCTCAGAGACACATACGAACCAACCTTTAAAGAGACATGATTGCGCATATTAGACTGGAGTCTCTTGATAGCACCGACGCCATTCATGATCCGATCAATCGAAATCAGCTATCTCATTGATGGATCCCAGGCCTGCCCAGCCTTTGTAACCAGTGTCCAATCTGCAGAAAAAACACTCAGGATAAGTAATTTTTTGCAGTCAGAGAATAATCTCTGATCTTTGTTCAAGCCAAGAGAGATTCCATCATTTTTAAAGGACATTCTGTTTCAAAGACTTCTTCCAAATTTTTTCCCCTTAAATACATTGATCCTGGCAAATTGTTATGGAAAATACAAGCAATATGAAAGCTGACCTAATCGTTTGCAAAGGAAGGAGCCCTTTGGAAGAGAGGGTATAGTGTGAAGACAAATAACACATTGTTTTATTGAAAAGACCCATAAGTCACCTTTCAGGTGGCATGCAATGAACTTGAAAATTGTGGAACACGATTAAACAGTGATTTTAAACATGGATAATTAACAGTTAAACTCTTAAAGGACCCTCTGCACCAATGTACCCAAGAAAACCCCACCTCAGTTATAAGCAAAGCTAACGGGTAAGTTCCTGGGGTGAGACAGTTTCTTCTTCTGCCACAGTGGGGATAAAGGAGAATGCGTATGGATGATTGTGGACCAAAACTGCGATGCAAATGTCCAGTTTGGAGTAGAATCAGTTGCTGGCAGACCTCTGTCAAAATCAGTGAGGTCAGGGACAGAGACCCACCTTCCTCAGGACCATCTGCTCACCTTGGATGGTGCCTTCTGTGCCAGTGTTTCGGAACAAATGCTTGCCATTTGGCCGTCACAAAGCATGCTTTGCAGCAGAGATGAACCAGAAAGAAATAGTCTCTGCTTAATTGCGCCATTTCTGGTGTAGGTCTTCGCCAGCCAGTTACATCCTGTGGAATTCTGGATGCTCTCTTTCTCTCTCTCAAGAAAAAAGGAAATCTGGTCTTCAGAAATACGTTTGTGCAGTTGAAAATGTCTGGGTATTAGTGGCAAAACTCTGCGGTGGTCAAACTTCTGAACTCCTATGCTTTGTGTGATCGTGGGCCTTTCATACAGTTTTGTATCATGTTCTCTTCGCTTAGCAAGCAGCATTAATGCTGTTGAATTGTCTACATAGCTCCAAACCACAAGTGAAATGAAGATTTAAGAGTGGTGTGACTCAAGGGCTTGCATTCATTTCTCACAACACAGTATTTGCACGTTCTCTCCTTGTCTCTGTTTTACTACTCCTTTGCTGTCAATATTGTTTTGACAGTTGGCTTTTTGGGCCTAGAACCCACATGTAGCAACGGTAGCATCTGTATTCCATTCCTGCTACCACCATGTCTTTCTTCGTTGACAAATAAAATTATACCCTGAAATTTCAGGGGAGCTCAAATATCACGTTGCGCATTCCAGCTGAGCAAGCTTATGCAAAATATGGGCATAATACACAGTCCCCTGACTGCAGGATTTCTGTTACTTTAAGGAAAGTTTGCTGGGGGTGGGTGGGATATTTTTCCTCAAATGAACAATGCTGGTTATGATAATGAAGACTAGGCTAGTGTTTCAGGAAGGAGCCATGGTAACTATTACTCGCATGGTAACCAGCTGCTCTTAGCAGATTTCCTTTACCCAGAAATGCACCTGGGAACTGTGGCACATTTATTTTATTTATTTATTTAGAAAGCTTCTATGCCACCCCATTCGCCGAAGCCTCGGTGCGGCTCACAACAATAAATAAATAATAACAACACAAAAACAATATAATTGGAGACGTCCTGGCCAAAGATATAAAATAAATAAATAATATTAGCAATTAAAATGATGTTTAAGTTAAAAGGTCTTGGCCTGGCGCAGAAAAACAAATGATGATGGCGTCAGGCGGACCTCTCTGGGGAGTGCATTCCATAGATCTGCACCGTAGAGGGATTCCACCAGTCGAAACTCATGTTTTCAGCATAAGACTCTGCGTGCTTGCTTTGGTTTACTAGTGTGACTCAATTTTGGGCTTTGGACCACCAGCCCTCGAATGGCTCAGCCAAGGGCTCAGCCAAGGGCTCATTGAATGGTCCTGGGAATATGACTCTTTGAGCAGCCTCTTACCTTCTGTAAATTAGGAGGTGTTTCTATAAAGACAGATTGTACCCTCCTTGCCCATTTTAAAGGAGCGCTGCTAGTGAATGACAACCATGGTGTTCTTTTGTGCAGAAAACCATATTCTGGAGGACGTCAATAAATGTGTGATTGCCCTGCAAGAGGGAGATGTGGACACGTTGGACAGAACGGCAGGAGCAATTCGAGGTCGTGCTGCCCGGGTCATCCATATCATTAATGCCGAGATGGAAAACTATGAAGCTGGTGTTTACACAGAGAAAGTATTAGAAGCGACAAAGTTGCTTTCTGAAACAGGTAAGCATGAATCCAAACATGGTCATTATGTTCACTTCTCCTTTTTTGTGTTTGGATCAATTTTATGGTGAAGCCTAGGTCAACCATGGCACACCCTGGCATAACAATGTTTCCAACACAATCAGCCATTCTGTACATGGAATGGGTTAGGATGGGGCCAAGCCATGTGCCACATTCTCTAGGGGTTTAGTATTTGGCATATGATCTATCGGAGCATGAAGGAGCCATTTGGATTAGATGAGAAGGCCGTCTAATCTGGCATTCTCATTCACACAATGGCCACCCAGATGCCAATGGGAAACTCGCAAGCAGGGCATGAGTGGCCTAGCAACCTACCATCCATGTTTCCCAACAACTGGTGCGCACAGGCATGCTGCCTGTGATACTGGAAGTAGCATGTAGCCACTGGGATAACTGGCCATGGATAGACTTCTCCTCCATAAATTCATCCAGTCGACTTTTCAACCCATCTTAATTGGTCATCATCACTGACTGTTGTATTTCTGAATTCTATAGTTTCACCAGGCATGGTAAAAGAAGCCCCTGCCCCAGATGTGCTTCCTCGCCTGGAGTTTGTGGGGCCTTGCTATGGAAATGTGCAGTGCAGCCTTGCCTATGAGTTATTACATTTTCCATAATGTATTATATTGTGCCCAGGTCCCTGTGACCTCATGGACAACATTCCCCAGGTTCTCCTGTCCTCCACCATCCCCCGGAGTCCACCCAAACCCACACCCAACCCCCCAGTGACCCCATCCAGCCACCTCATCCTCTGCCGCCCCCTTCTCCTTTTGCCATCAATCGTTCCCAGCATCAGGGTCTTCTCCAGGGAGTCCTTCCTTCTCATTCGGTGGCCAAAGTATTTAAGCTTCAGCTTTAGTATCTGTGCTTCTAAAGAGCAGGCAGGGTTTATTTCCTTTAGGATTGACTGACCTGATCTCTTATATCACATCATTATCATATCTACTATATCATATATCAAACCATACCATATTATATTATCATATTATTATCCCTTATAAGAACATTGGGAAATGTACTTTCCAACTCAGAAGCTTTAGCAACAACATTTCCCAGGTTTTGAACTGCCCAGAAGCCTTATCAGAATTCATTGTAGAAGTTCTCCCAACAGCCAGCACGGACTCTCAAGGTGGGAAAGAAAAGCAGATAGCTCTAGCAGGTATGAGTACATGCCCATTCTGCACTGGGACCAATCAGGAATGGGTTTGAGAAGACAAATTACCTAAATTTATATCCCCACTCTGAAATGTAACGCTATCCCTAGGTGAGTTTTATGTAGGTATTTTTTATTTCTTTTCTTGGATACTTCTCTTCCTTGCTGTATTCCACCATTTCTCCCAGAATGGATGAAGACAGACGTGAGCAGGGCTCTTATTACTTCAGGTCAGCTTGTGCATCTAGTGGCTCTCTTACTCCAAAGAAGCCCACCTTTGCTGATTCGCACATCCTTCTTGGTGGGATCTCCAGATCTCCAAGCTGCACCTCAAAGCTCAAACTGACTTGCAAATTATACTTTTCTTTTTGCACAGGATCTTGTGCATATTTCATGAACTTTTTTTTTCAAAATGTACAACGTTGTATGCATTTTTAAATGCACATGGTACACTTTTGAACTCATCATTATTTGTTCCAGAAGTCATGCTGTAGGCTTGGAAATGTCCCAACTGACTGCTGTTTGTGTTCAGGTCAGCATTATGCACTGATGAAGTAAATTCTGGTCCACACTGAACTGGAACAAATTGCTCATATATCACAAATTCTTTCCTGCCGAGAATTTGACAACTCTCCTTTCTTTTGCTGTCAGGAGTGTCACTGAAATTCCCTTAGGCTACGTTGTGTAGGGCGAGGTCATGATTCATGGGGGTCTGAGTTTGATCCACATCCCACTCTGTTTCTGGAGACTGGCTAGTAACAGTTCTGATCCAAATTTGTATCCACTCCATGGGACTGGACAGTATTCCCTCTATTTTAGAAGAAGTGATCTGGGGGTGAGAAACTGTGTCCTGGACCAAATTGGCATGAGTGACTACAAATTCTTGCAAGCATCTTCAGCAAAACTTTAAAAAAACTGTCTCCTAAAAGGATGGATTTCAAGGCTCTGCATTCATTAACATGCGTCAATAAATAAAATAGATTTCCCATTTACAGAAAGATGTAAATTCCAACTCAGGTGTCTCTAGAGAGTTGAGCATCCTAATGGTATAAGTTCGTGCTCCAAATCTAAATAACGAAAACATTGAGCCTGTGGAATATGTTTGTATGTGGAGGAGGAAATACTGATAGAACCATGAATTCAAGTGGGAGTCATTTCAAAGTCTTAAGATTTGTCTGATGTTTTGGGCAATGGAAATCCATTTGAATTAGTCAAATCTAATGTGAAGTGTAGCATTGCATAGCAGTGTTTGAAGGGCTAAACAGTGGATTTGAACTTTCTGCCCCGTTGTTGCTGCCAAGAAAGTGAAAATGGACGTGCCTGTAACCATTTGAGGGATCTGACCTTGGGCATGGGTAAAATTAGATTGCAAATTATACTTTAAAGCCATTTGCTGGAGAAGCTCATTTAGAAATTTCAATGACATCCTTTCTTACTGGTAAAGTTGTATCTGATTGTATAGATCGAACAAGGCTTCTTTGCATGAAGCCTTAAGTCATTCTCCTTCTGTACAGTGCTATGTCCTTTCAAATAGCATGCATGGGGATGAAATTTGTATGGATATTCAAATATTTATGTACTTATTTAATATATTTATAAACCACTTTTCATCCACAATATCCCAGGGTGTTAATGCACAGCATTAAAAACAAAGAACAAATCCAGTCTGAAAAGCCAATTCAACAACAAGAACATGTGTTCTGAGCCCATCTGGTCTAACTGGACATATTCATCCCAACTAATATGATCAAATTATGCAAGCTGCATGCAGGTTTCGCCAGTGAATATGTGGATGCACTTCATGGTGCTCATTTGGGGCCCAATGTGCTGTCCAGATGTGGCTTATGATGGTGGCCACTTCTGATAGGTTTCTTCTAGGTTTCCCAGTAGAGCTGATGAGTTCTTGAAGATACTTCTCTGCAACCCTGGAAGGGATCTTAAGCACAGCCCTGGGATTGTGTGGAGTGATCCCAGAGTGGATCAGGCAGCAAGATTGGATTGGAAGGGTGAAGCAAGAGATGGAGAGACTTTTTCATTGGCATGAGTGTGGAATTCTGCTTATGGAAAGATCTGCTTTGTTTCCTCGCATTCACAAAGCTGTAGACCATGGGGTCTTTTAATTTCTTATCTATAATAGATGGACAGCTGGTGCAGTTAATGAAGCCACCTAAAATGTGATGTGTTTCCTTGTATACATAGCAGAAGTGGATCTAAAGTTGTTCGACCCAACTCAGTTTTGGGATCAGCCAAAGTGTCTTTTATTTCAATTAAATTCTTCATTTTAGGCAAGCATTTATTTAAAAACTCCTTTTGCATCCATATCTGTCCAGTTTTGAATAAGAAAGAAGAGTTTTTGGACACCTATAATCAGTAAAAATTCTGGGTCAGCATTATGCAAACTTCTGCCCATTTGCTTTTCATAAAACCAATTCACAATGAGAATAACACAATAAGGCAAATCTATAGCAGGTCCGTGGCATATTTACTCTGGGCTTTAATAAATGTTGAATTATAATGAAGATCCAGCAGCTCTGTAGAAAGTATGCCTGGCCATGTCCTCCTTTCAGGTCTTTTATGCTGACAGAAAGTGTGAAAAGACCTCGTTGTTGCAATATGCTGATAGAGAAGGTCTAATTGCAGGTGCTTCCTATTCATCAGCATATACTCTGTTGCATTGTTCATTTGCAAGACTCTGTGGAAGGCCATTGCTGGCAATATAGATGGAGGCATTCTGCAGAAAGACTATTTGTCCAGCTCCTTTGTGTGTGGCGTTGTGCAATTGTGGAAGTGAATGGACATATCATAGCTGCATTTGATAGCAATAATATGCAAGCCCATATGAGGCCTTGTACGAGTCGTAATGGTTGGTTAACTGCCATCGGTCCACTAACAAGAACCCCTTGGACTTCTCCTGCTCTTCAGCATCACAACCTGCTTGCTCCGTTGACTCTCTCTATGGCCAGGATGGGTGCGTGATGGGAGAGCTGGTGGGAGTTCTTCTTGCTCGCTTCTTGGCACCATGGCTAGCAAGCAACTAGAGAGCGGCAACAGCGAGGGTGGGGGAGAGCAGAAGCAGGAGCTGGTGCCAAGTGCAGCTGGGCCTCACTGATGAAGTGGGGCCGCTGAGGGCATCCTACCCGAAGTCCCTGCAAAATCTGGCGCCACAACTGCACCCAGCATTCAGAGTCCGAGGAGTTCACACGAGTGAAGGACTTGGACGTGTAGGCTGGTCATGTAACATGTACAACTGCTGCAAAGAGCCTGGAAAAGCGAGTCCCAAATCCATCAAAATCCTCTGAAGGCAGGGAGAGGAGCAAAGCAGCATTCTCTTATCCCCTCTTCCATTTTTGATGAACTTGTGCATGCCTTAGAACAGGGCTGAACCACTGGTGTCCCTCCAGATCCTTGCCCTACAAATCCCACCCCCTTTGATGTTCCCACAAAGATGTGAGGAAGGACATTGTGCAGACCTTGTTTTCACTGTCCTGAACAGGAAGGCCACTGCTAGCTCCAAACCGGGAAGCAACGGTAGCATTTCTTGAAGCATTTCTGGACGTAAAGGTATAGGAAGCTTCCTTATGCCTGGCCAGACCATTGGTCCACCTAGCCTGGTGTTGTCAGTACGGATTGAGAAGGACTCTCCAAGCTTTTGAGCAGGAATTTCCCATTTCCGTCTTGACCTACCCGAGGTCAGACTTGGCTGGGACCAGCTGCACTATCCCTGAGCTTCAGTTCCTTTCATGCTGGACTCCAGCCCTGGATTTGACAGATTTACCCAACCACAGGATCAGAACAGCTCCACTTTGTGCATGACAGACATGATAGC